TTTTTTATTCAGTCAGCTACTCTGTGTCTTTTTATTGGAACACTCAAACCATTCACATTTAATGTGATAATTGATATGTACTTATTTATTGCCATTTTTGTTTAGTTCTATTTTTCTTCCTATTTCTTCTACTAATTACAGCAGTACTTTTAGCATGTCTTGTAGTGCTGGTTTGGTGCAAATATATTCCCTTAGCCATTTTTTTGTGTGGAAAGCTCTTTATTTTACCTTCTATTTTGAATGATAGGAAAGTATGGAATGCTTCACAATTTTGCGTGTCATCCTTGCGCAGGGGCCATGCCAATCTTCTCTGTATTGCTCCTAACTGGTATTTTAAATTGTGCCTTTTCTCTATTATGTTAAACTTTCTACTTTTAGGGTTTATTACTCCTCCTTCTAATTGGCCAATATAAAACATATTATTTATGCTGTGTTCTTCCAGTGGCTTAAATTTTATACATACTAAGTATATTTAGTATGGTTATCTTTGCTTTAAAGGGCAGAAATGCTTGTCTGTGGTGTAAGTTGGTGGTCTAGTTTCATTTATTAAAGAGGCTGTCTTTACTCCATTGTATGCTTTTGCAACCTTAGTCAAACATTAATTGAGCATAATGTCTTGGGTCAATTTCTGGGCTCCCTGTTCTGCTTTGTTGATCTACATGTCTGTTCTTGTGCCAGTACCAGGCTCTTCTGATTACAGTGGCTTTGTAGTATAACCTGATATTCAGTATTGTGATCCCTCCTACTTTGTACTTCTTTTTCAAGGTTGCTGTGGCCATTTGGGCTCTTTTTTGGTTCCATATAAACGTGTGGAGTATTCATCCTAATTCCATGAAAATGTCATAGGTATTTTAATGGGGGGATTGCATTGAATCTATAGGTTTCTTTGGGTAGTATGAACATTTTAATGATTTTTATCCTTCCAATTCATGAACAAAGTACATGCTTCCACTTTTTTTATATCTTCCTCTGTTTCTTTCTTTAATGTTCTGTAGTTTTTTGTGAACAGGCTCTTTACTTATTTAGTTAAGTTTATTCCTAGATATATTAGTTTTTTTTGTTGCAATGGTAAATGGGATTTTTTTAGTTTATCTTTCTATGTGTTCATTACTGGTGTATAAAAATGCCAATAATTTCTGGTTGTTGATTTTATATCCTGCTATTTTACCAAATTAATTTATTAAATATAGTTCTTTGATGGAATTTTAGGGTTTTCTATGCATAATATCATGTTTTCTGTGAATGACAGTTTACCTTCTTTTTTTTACTGTTTGGATCCCTTTTGTTTCTTCTTATCGTCTGATTTTTTTGGCTAAGGCTTCCAGTACTATGTTAAATAAGAGTGGTGAAAGTAGACACTCCTGTCTTGTTTCTGTTCTGCTTTTAGTTTTTGCCCATTAAATATAATGTTGGCTGTAGGTTTGTTATAAATGGTCTTTATTATATATCTTTCTAGTCCCACTTTATTGAGAGGTTTTAGCAAAAGTAGATGCTGGATTTTGTCAAATGTCTTTTTAGGGTCTATTGAACAAAAAATGGATAAAAGACTTAAATGTGACACGTGAAACCATAAAAATTCTAGAAGAAAATGCAGACAACAAAATTTCACATGCAGCAGAATTTTCACTGATAAAATGCCTAAGAGAAACAAAAGAAAAAATTAATACATGGGACTACATCAAACTAAAAAGGTTATGCACAGCAAAAGATACAATCATCAAAATGGAAAGGCAGCTCACTGTATGGGCGAACATAATTGCCAATGACATATCAGATAAGGATTTAATTTCTAAAAATATAGAGTACTCACAGAGCTTGACAAAAGGAAGGCAAAGAACCCAATTAAATAATGGGCACACTACCTAAATCGACACCTCTCCAAACAGGACATACAAATGGCCAAGATACACATAAAAAAAATGCTCAACGTCACTAATTATCACAAGGATGCAAATTGAAATAACAATGAAATATGACCTCACACCTACCAGAATGGCTGCCATTAACAAGTTATCAAACCAGACCTGGTGAGGGTGTAGAGAAAAGGGGACTCTAGTACACTGCTGGTGGGAATGCAGACTAGTGCAGCCACTATGGAAAACAATATAGTGTTTCCTAAAAAAAATTGGAAGTTGAACTGTCATTTGTCTCAGTGATCCCACTTCTATTATAAAAGCCTGAAACACACACACACACACACACACATATATATATATATATATATATATATACACACACACACACACACCTGTGTCCATAGCAGCACTATTTACAATAGCTAAGATCTGGAAACAACCAAAATGTCCATCAGCTGATGAGTGGATAAAAAAGCAATTGTATATACACACAGTGGAATACTATGCAGCTATAAGAAAAAAAACTCACATTTTTTGAGATGACATGGAGGGACCTGGACAGTATTATGCTAAGCAAAATAAGCCAGTCAGAAAAGACAAGTATCACATGATCTCACTTATTTGTGGAATGTAATGAACAAAATAAGGTGATGAACAAAATAGACCTGGAGACAGAAGTACAGTTCAGTGTGACAAACTTCAGAGGATGGGGCAGAAGGAGGAGAAAAGAGATAAACTGAAAAGCTTATGCATATAAGTATAAGCAATGGACGTAGAAAACAATGCTTGGGTTGGGGGTGTGTGAACAGAAGGAGGTCAGCAGTGGAAGGAAAAGAAGAAACATCTGTAACAAAAATAAATTAATTAAATAAAAAATAAAAATAGCCCTGGATGTTTTTGCTCAGTGGTTAGAGCATTGACCCATGGACCAGAAAGTCCTGGGTTTGGTTTCCGCTAAAGACATTTTGTCCCTTGCCTAGCTTGGGGTCATGTGGGTGGTAACCACTTGTGTCTCTTTCACATAGATGTTTTTCTCTCTCTCTTGCTCCCTCTCTCCCTTTTGCTCTATCTGAAGATAAAAGGAAAAGAAAATGTCTTCAGGTGAGGATAAAGAGTAGACATGCTTGAAATTTCATTTCCCTATTATTTTAAGAAAGGACAATATTATTTATGATATGTAATATACATTTCTACATAGCTGGAAATAATGCAATTTCCTTCCTTACTTTGTCCCAGTTTTTAATAAGGAGGTATTTAAACCTGAATTATTATTGTTAATAATAAATAGCTCTTACAGTGTACATTTTGCTAACTATATTTACCATGTTAATAATTAGATAAATGTTGATTTTTCTAATTTTATGATTTTCCACCATTTTTTATACTATAACTTTTCAATCCATGACTATTTTGAATCACCAGTCAGTTACAAAACATCTAGAAATAATTTTTTTCTGGCAATGTATGGGGGTGTGATTAATTTCTAATTATTAAAGTACAGATGATTTTTTTGAATCTTATAATTGAACATTATAGCTCAAAAGTGCTTGTTTAAACCCACTTTTTAAAGGAAGTACTTGTTTAATCTTTTAAATTTATTAGTCTTCTCATCACCTGTAAGAATGAGAATTTGATATTTAAAATACACTAGTTTTCTTCAAATCATGGCAGTGTACAAATGTTCAAGCATTTCTCAGGCAGAGCAAATAAAGAAATTTTATTAGACCCATTCACATACTATGATGTCACTCAACAATGATGCCTTTTCTATAAGATCAGAGAGAACAAACTGTGTCTCAGAATGGGCCTCTCATTGTCAAAGAACCACACATAATTGCAAGTTTCTTTTATCAGCTACAGCCAGATGTTAACCTCAGGATCTCCATATTGATTAAATTTGATATATTCTTAATATTAGCAAACTATTCCAGAAGCACTTTAACATTTTTATTTAGTGCAGTCTTAGTATCTGTTATTGTAAAAGCTATTTAGCCTAATTGATTTTTGGGTTTAGAGAAAAAGAATTAAAAAAAGTAGAAATATGAAACTTTTTATAACTGAGGTTTTATTTTCTTAATCTTTCTAGGAATATTTTTGATACTTTGCAGAGTGGAGGGAGCAAAATAAGAATCTAAAACAATATAATCTTATATCCTAGGAAAACCTAACATAATGGCTTTGTGTTTCAGAAAGTTTTGGAAAAGTTTATTTTCTGTGTTATAGCCATAAAAATAAAAACACTAGTAAGTGTAATAGGAAACCCAAATTATGGAGATTTATTGGAAATTGAAAAAAAAGAAAAGAAATAATTAGTTGATGAGGATTTATGGTATAATAATAATTTTGAAGGTTGTATGAGTTGAAAGGGGAAAGAAAGATCCCAGATAGAAAAATAAGATTAGACAACAAAAAAAAATCCATTGATTCAATTGGTTAGTTAAGGGTTCATTCTTCTTTACATGTTATATTAATGTTTCCTAATCTAAACAGGCTTTCCTTTTGGTTGGTGAGACAGGAAATAGTGGGAGAAAGGAAGAGAGAAAACAACCTGACACAGTGATTGTCAGAGAAACAAAAATAGAAAATCAGTTGGGCTGAGGGAATAAATACATAGAGTAGTCCCTCCCCCCTCCTTTTTTATGTTTTGCTTTTTCAGGCTTTAGTTAACCTCCATCATCCAAGCTTCAAAAATATTAAATGATAAATCCAGAAATAAGCAATTCATACATTTTAAGTTGCACACTGTTCTGAGTAGTGTGATGAAATCTTGCGCTATACCACCCAGGATGTTGTCCATTGTCTCCACGCTGTACACTCTACCTGCCCGTTAGTCACTATCTTAGCTATTTTGGTTATGAAATACTCTGTCACAATCTTGAAGTGCTTGTGTTTAAATAACTGTTATTTTACTTAATAATGGCCCCAAATTATAAGAGTAGTGATGTCAGCAATTTAAATTCATCGAAGAGAAGCCCTAAAGTGCTTTCTTTTAAGTGAAAAGGCAAAAGTTCTCACCTTAACAAGACATTTTATTATCTTACATCATCAAAAAAAGTACAAGATATTTTGAGAGTAAAAAAAGACCATGTTTATAAAACTTTTATTACAGTATATTGTTATAGTTGTTTTATTTTATTATTAATTATTGTTAATCTCTTACTGTGCCTAGTTTACAAATTAAACTTTATCATAGGTTTGTACATAAAGAAAATTTATGTAGGGTTCAGTGCTACATGTGGTTTTAGGCATCCATTGAGGATCTTGGAATGTATTACGCTTGGATAAGGAGACTATTGTACCTCTCTGGGCCATAGACCAGTATTTGGTGAAATATATTAGCAATACAAATACAACTAACCCTTAAGCACTGTGGGTGTCAGGGGTGCTGAACCCCCTTCCTCGCCAGGTGTTAAAAAATCCATGTGTAACTTTTGACTTTACAGTTACCTCTTTGCATCTGCAGATTCAACCAACTGGGATTGAAACCAGTAAT